GAGGTGGGGCTTGCTGCTGGCTTGCTGCAGTGACTCCTGTCCTGTACCCCCTCCACCAGAGCAAGAGGGGCCTGGGTTCCCATTAATCCCCCAAACTTCCCAGGCTGTAAAACTGCTACACCCCATCTTTCTACTGACTCAGCCATTCCAGGGTTTTTCCTGGGGTGATATTTTCTGAGCTTTCAGAAGTTAGAAAGGGAGACTGAGAGCGACTTATTTCTTACTCTACCATCTTGGCTCCCAGAAATCCCATCCCTCTCTCTCACCTCTGAATTTTACATTTCTTTTTCTCACCCCTGTGTTCTCTGTCAATGCTCTAACTGCCCTAATAATGATAAAGTTCTTAGGTGTTAAAATTTTCATCTTTCTATACAAGAATATAAGCATTTTAACCTCATTGATTACCTTGTAGTTTTTCTGTCATTCTTTAACTTTTTATGCTTTTCTTGAATCTTGTATTTGAAAGTCAAATTTTCGGCTCTGGTCTTTCATCAAGAATGCTTCAAAGTCCTCTAATCCATTAAATGCCCATCCACCCCTCCCCAGAAGGATTATACTCAGTTTTGCTGCTGGATAGTTATTCTTGAATATAATCCTGGCTCCTTTGCCTTTTGGAATATCATACCCAAATTCTCTGATCTTTTAATGTGGAAGCTGCTAAATCTTGTGTGATCCTGACTGTTACTCCATGATATTTGAATTGGTTCTTTCTGGCTGCTTATGGGTATTTTCTTCTTGACTGGGAGCTTTGCAATTTGGCTGTAATATTCCTGGGAGTTTGCATTTTCCAATCTTTTTGTGGAAGTGATTGGTGGATTTTTGCAATTTCTATTTTACACTCTGGTTCTAGGATATGTATTCCTTGATAATTTCTTGAAATATGATGCCTAGGGTCTCTTTTTTTTTCATCGTGGCTTTCAAGTAGTCCAATAATTCTTCAGTTATCTCTCCTAAATCTGTTTTTTCAGGTCATTTGTTTTCCAGTGAGATATTTCACATTTTCTTATGTTTTTCATTTTTTAATTTTGTTTTCTTGGTTTCTCATGGAGTCATTAGCTTCCACTTGCCCAATTCTAATTTTTAAAAGAATTATTTTCTTCTGTGATCTTTTGTAACTTTTTTTTCCATTTGGTTAATTCTGCTTTTTAAGGCATGCTTCTTGTCAGTGGATTTTTGTGCCTTTTTTCCTATTTGGCCAGTTCTATTTTTTAAGGTGTTATTTTCCTTGGTTGTTTGTTTTTTGGTTTTTTTTGGTTTGTTTTTTGGTTTGGTGCTTTTTTTTTCTGGTGCTTTTATTAAACTCTTTTTTTTTGCATCACTCTCATTTCTTTTCCCAGTTTTTCTTCCACCTCTCCTATTTGATTTTTAAAATCATTTTTGAATTCATCCAAGAATTCTAGTTGAGCTTATGTCAAATTTACATTTTCTTAGAGGTTTTGCTTGTAGCTGCTTTGACATTGTCTTCTCCATTTGTGTCTTGTTTTCCCTGTCACCATAGTAACTTCTTATGTTCAAGTTCTTATTTTGTTTTTCACTCATTTTTCCAGCCTATTTCTTGACTTTTAACCCTATGTTAAAGTTGGTCTTTCTTCCTAAGGATCACTGTCCCAAGCTTCAGACCTTTTTTCCTGCTGTCTTCAGAGCCAGCTTTCAGGTTCTGTAGGTCTTTGGTGCTTTCAAGGTGGTAAGACCTAGGGAGAGGTATGATCACTGCTCTCCTGGTCTGTGCTCTGGTCTTTAACTATGAAGGAACCTTATTTCCTTGTAGTCACTAGTGTTAGCCCTCCTGTACAGCCCTAGGACTGTGACCATGTCCTTTTCCTCTCATGCAGCAGTAATTGCTCATGCTCCCCTATGTCTTAGAATTGAGACCAGAGCCCTACTGTAGATGACCACAAGCACTCCTCTCCCTCCTGGAACCTTAACTATGGCGCCTGCTACCCTGAGGCTGCAAGTGCTCTTGTTGCTCCTTCTGGCCTTTGGACTGCAGCCCAGAACTACTTATGGGCAATGCAACAGGTTCCTGAACCCAGCACCAGCAAAGGATCCCCTGCAATCTCCTTCCAGCCAGTTGTCCAGCCCCTTAATCCTCCCCTCACCTGTCCTCGGGTTGGGAGTTCCCAGAGCTGGTTCTGCCACCACAGCAGCCACCTCCAAGGCCCAGTGCCGGCAGCACAACACAGCCTGCACTACCTGGTCTGTGCTGCTCCAGTCCTGACCACCACTGCAGTGAAACAAACCTTTCCTGCCAATCTCCTAAGTTTTCTTGAGCTAGAAAATTGTTTCAACTGACCTTTTGTTAGTTCTGTCCCTCCAGAATTCTGTTTGAAGCATTATTTTAGAATTGTTTGGAGGGGAATTTGAGAGAGCTCATCTGAATACTTCTCTCCTCCACCATCTTGGCTCCACCTCTCTCACTTTCAAAATCCAGTGTTCTTTTCTCTGTCCTTATCCTCTTGATTTCTCTGCAGCTTATGACACTAATGCTCACCCTTTCCTCTTGGTTACTCTCCCCTCTCTTGTTTTCATGAGACTGCTCTCTTTTGGTTCTCCCCATACCTGCTTGACCATTTCTTCTCAGTCTCCTTTTCAGGATCATCAAGTCTCACCTCAGGCTCTATCCTAGGCTCTCTTATTTTCTATTTCAGTCATCTCATAAGATCCCATGAATTCAACTGTCATCTCCAAGCAAATAACTGCCAAATGTATAGATTTAGCACCACATTCTCTCCTGAGCTCTGGTCCTGTATCACCAACTGCCCTTGGACATCTGTACACAGATATCCCATAGGCATCTCAAATCAACAAGTCCAAAATAAAACTCACTGACTTTTCCCAAAACTCCTCCTGACAGATTTTCCTATTTCTGTTGAAGTTAACACAGTCTTTCCATTCACCCAGATTTGTAAACTGGAATTCATCCTTTACTCTTTATTCTCACACCCACCATAGCCAAGGCTTGTCATTTCTACCTTCACATCTCTCACGTGTCTTCTTTTCTCCATTCACATAGCCATCCAGATCAGGCTTTCATCACCTGGCGACTGTAACAGCCTCCTAATGGATCTCCCTGTCACCTCTCTCTGCACCTTCTCCATTTCATCTTCCACACAGCTGTTACACTGATATACTTAAAACACAGGTTTGACCATATCACTTATCTGTTCACAAAAAATTTAAGTGCCTTCCAATTGCCTCTAAAATAAAATACAAATGTTAGTTTGGCATATAAAGCGCTCCATTGTCTGACATAGACCATACCTCATGCCTGAAATTCATTGTCTTAAATTCTGCCTTTCAAAATCTTTCAGGTTCCTTCAAGCCTCCACTCAAATTTTCCCAGAGCACCTTGTGTTGTCTTTTCTTCTCCCTTTCCCAACATACTAAATTCATGTATCCTCCATCCTTCAGAAGAACACAAGCTTCTGGAGGACAGAGTCTAGCTAAGTCATTTAAATCCCTATCACATTTTCTTTGGCTTTGTTTTTTTTTTTTTTCATTTTAGGCAATTGGGGTTAAGTGACTTGCCCAGGGTCACATAGCTAGTAAGTGAAGTGTTTGGTCTGAGGCCGGATTTGAACTCAGGTCCTCCTGACTTCAGAGCCTCCTGACTTCTGCCCCTCCTATCACATTTTCTTACATATATTATGTGCTTAATAGTTGTTTGAATTAATTAGAATGTAAACTGTTTCAGGGCAGAAACCTTGATGCCTTATTTTTTTTTTTTTATTATACAGCACCTGTAATATGCTTCGCAACATTGTTGTTGCTTAATAAAGGTTTAAATTACATTTATTAAATTGAATAGGGGCAGCTAGGTGGCGCAGTGGATAGAGCACCGGCCCTGAAGTCAGGAGGACCTGAGTTCAAATCTGGCCTCAGACCAAATACTTGACACTTACTATATGTGTGACCCTGGGCAAGTCACTTAACCCTAATTGCCTTTAAAATAAATTGAATAACATTAATGTTGTGACATAGTAGAGTCATTATTGATTTATTGAGAAAGTTCAGGTTTTAAGTTAATGCTTATTAAATTGAATTAAGGTTTTAAGTTGACCTTTCCATTTTCAGGAAGTATGTTTTGGGGGGGGGGGTGGGGGGTTGTCCAAGTTGGATTGGTCCAAGGAACCATTGACCTGATGGACTGTTGATTAGGAGGAGGAGGAGCCATCAAGCCTTTTAGCATTAAGGAACCTCTTTTCACAATATATTTACTAGATATATTTGCTATCTTTTCCCCCCGTATAACCCCTTTCACTCATGTGAGAAGAGTTGCCATTTCTCTCTGAAAACTGACTAGTTCAAAGGCATTTGATGAAGTGCATAAAATCCCAAGGGACAGGTGAGAATTTTGCAATTTGTTACTGAAATAGATGTCACAGAATAACAGTTTCTCATAATAGGGAAACTGAGACTACCGGGCCTTGCCTTTCGTCTTCAAAAGAGAAAGAAAGCCAAGTTTTTATCCTGAGTTTTTATCTCAGAACTTGTCTTCCACCAATCCAGTCAGTACCAGAGCATAAGAGGACCTTTGGAGTGTCCAAGACAGACATAGGACACAGACCATACAATTATTCTGAGGTTCTTTGGTGGGCTGATACAAATTGAATTCTTTTCAGAGTCCCAGTGTAAACTTTGTGTAAGAATCATAATTCTCCCTCCTTTCCTATTTAGTTTTATATTTTTTAAACACCACCATTCATTACATTCCTTGAAATTGAACTGCCTTTGTGGACCACATATAGACAATTTTTGGAATTTGAAATGTCCCCTTTTCAAGCCTTCAGACTAGAATACCTGACAGAAATTACTTTCTTTCTGATCATTCTCAGGTGGGATTTCTCAAGCAGTAAAATTTAAGCTAAATTACTTTTCCATTATCAATATTGAATTTATTGGTTGTGTCTGTAAGGAAATTTTTTAAAAATAGGCAAGTACTTTATGAAGCATTAAAATATGCTAACACTTTTTTTAAACTCATTTTCCCATTCTAACAGCTTACGGATTCAGAACTAATTAAACAATGCATAGATGAATGCACAGCAAGAATTGAAATTGGATTGCATTATCAGATCCCATATCCAAGGCCAGTAAGTCTCAGTTCAATCTCCACTTGTTGGTACTAAACCACTGCATCACCCAAACCTGGTAATTTCTGAGCATTCCTACTCATGTGACTAGTGGTTTCTGGGAAGCATGATACTGCTGCAAAGGCAATTTACACAACTTAGACTCTAGATCTGGGGTTCTTAACCTTTTTTGTGTCTTGGACTCTTTTGACAGTCTAGTAAAAACTATGGACCCATTCTCAAATTGTCTCTTTCCTACATTCATTTAAAGAAAATGTTAAATTTCATTTAGAATTTAGTGAAAATTAAGATGTATTTTTCTTCTTGTTTAAATTCACTAACTCCCTGAAATCTACCTGTGAACCCCTGAGTAGAGTGGTCCATGGACCCCAGATTGAGAGCCTCTGCTCTAGATTGAGATGGTCTGATCAGAAACGGGGGGAAGGGAAGGGAAGGGAAAAGGGACGTTTGCAGAATGTTTTGGAATTGAAGTAGCATTACTACCACCCTCTTAAAAAGTTCTTTTATTTCTTTTGTTTTTCTCATAGTGGGGAGCCTAGCCCATACACTGTTGTTTTTTAAAAAGGGAAATCACAATCTCTGGGTTTTCACAAAGGCGTTTTTTGATTTGTGCAGATTCACCTTCCTCCAATGGCCCTCACTCCCCTACAGAGTCGTGGACTTCAAACCCAGGAGAAGCTAAGAAAGTTTTCCAAACCACTGTATCTCAAGTCTCACAATGAAGTTTCTTAATCTAAGAAATAGGTTCTCTGTATCAACTGTGAACCAGGCAGGAACTGAGCACAAACTAGATGATGAATCTTTTCTACTTAAGTCCAGTTAAATAAAGGAAGGACAAAAAATATAGAGTCTTTGCTGTAATTTCTTTTAAGCACTCAAAAATTTGATTCTTTATTCTCAGTAACACTAATTTAATGTCCTTGAATTTATCAGTATCAGTGTGTTGCTACTAGATAGAAATATGCTCCCAAAGATCATTTCTAATCATGATCTTAGTAACATTAGATCAAAGTCTGAACATAGCAAGAATCAGGCTTAAATTTAAATTTTAAAAATAATTTTTTTTTTGTGGAAATAATGTAGCTATATACACAGAGGAAGCTGCAGAGTAGAGATATGGCAGTACCTGTTAGCAGCTTTCTTGGAAGTTCTAAAAATTACTATGGCAATCAGATACTAGCCTCAGACTTGTAAATCTCTGTGGACTTTATTTTGTTTTGTATTTAAGTTATGGATATATTTAAAATAAGCCCTTTTATGTTTTAGTTGTTCTACTGATATCTTTTTTTGGCTCAATTTACTCAAAGATATACTTTTCATTAATATTCAAGTATTAATATTCAAGTTTCTCCTTTACCACACTAGCAGAGTTCATCATATCATATCCCATCATCCCATCCCCTTAACCTAGTGGAAAATATCATAGTATCTCAGGGAAATTTTGGGGAGGAGGGAAATTTTTCTAAATTTTCAAGAATTGGTGTATGTAATTCTGTCCATTAAATGCATACTCTATACAAACAAATTCTAAAACATGTGAGTTATAATTCTGGCCTCAAAGCCTCACTGCAAACATACTACAATAGATAAAAATAATCACTATTTCTAATTGACCAAATTGGAATCTCACAAGCAGAAGAATATGTGGAATAAATTACAAGGCTAGGCTGAATTGAAATTATGTACAAATAGGAAAAGGAAAATCTAGATCAAAAGGAGAAAGGACTGTGCCTTTGTGATAAACCAAGTCACTGTACATGAGTCAGTGTTCTGTATTCAAAGATGATGAAAATCTTCAATAAAAATTGTTTATGTTTGTCTTTACTGTTTGTACCCATTCCTAAAATTACTTTGCAGCAGGTTTATAGTCTATTGATTTTAGTTAGGTAACAGAAAGAGTGCTGCATTTGGAATCAAGAAGCTTTCTAGTTAGGATAGGGCTGTCTGACTCATATTGCCGCAATCTTCATTATCCTAATTTTGGAAATAAGAGAGTATCCTTACAGATGAGGACTATCATGAGATAGAAGTAAGCTTATACTTTCCTCACAGAGGTGGTTGGTGACAGAGTGATAGAGCATTGGACCTGGAATCAAGGAAGACCTAAGGTTGAATCTGTCTCAGACACTGACTAGCTGTGTGACCCCTTGGCAAGTCACTTAACCTCTTTGGAACTCAGTTTACTCATCTGTAAAATGAAAGGGTTGGGCACAGTGCCCTCTGTGATCTTTTCCAGCTCTAAATTCATGATCAGTCATCTGCTGGGATATTTGTAAAACAGACCCACAGCTTTTCACCAACCTAATCACTAACCATCTCAGAGATGCTAGCCTCTAATTCACCAAGGTTTCAGGAGAGCATATTGCTTCTGTGCATGAGTAAGCAATCATGCTTTATGGATACAAATATAACAATAATGAATTTTAGGCAACATATCTTTTCAGATTTTTAAAGTCAAAAATTATTCATTGACATCCTGTGGTTTTAGGGAAATAACCCTCTTTCCCTTTCCCCTTTTACTTTTAAGTGAGAGGCTGGGCTTTATGCTCATTTTAGCAGTTTTAATACAGTTGTTCACTTAGCAAATCCTTAATAGCTTATTTCTGTGCAATTTGCTTCAAGGTACGAAACTCCTCAGAACTTGCTCTTTGAATGGAGCCCTTTATCCCTTACAACCATGAAGCAAAGCAGTGGTTTTACATGCTTTTAAAGTGAGTTTCATCACTATACCTTTCACCTGCTAGTCTCATTATGTCTTCTGAGGCAACATCAACCCATTATCAAGACAAGGAGGACTTTTTGTCCCTATAGCCATAACTGTCACAGTTTGTGTATCTTGGGCAGATTTCAAAAATTATAAAATATCCCCCTCTCTTTTTGGAAAATAAGGTCCATTATCCACTGGGGGCTTTGGATGTTCACTATAATACACACAACCTGGTTTATCCCAAAGTACCATAGAGAGCAAAATTTTCTGGCATGAAAAATATTTAAAATATTAAAATATGGCAGAGTAAAGTGAGCATTTTTGCCAAGCTCTCATAACATTCCTCTAAACAACTTTCAAAAACTTGTCAAATTGAATGTTAGGTGGCATAACCAACAAAAAGTCAAGTCATTTTTCTAGCCCAGAACAGGTTAGGAGGACAGAAGAAGTAGTCTGCAGACACTGGGGTTGGAGGCTAGCTAGGACCTTGGCATGGTGGAAGATACATTGGCTTTGGGCCTTGGAGGCATCAGTAGCAGTGATGCTGGGACTAGCAAGAATAAGAGGATTGAACACCTGGTCAGAAAAATTACAGGAGACCTCTGTGCTAGTACCAGACACTGGACCAGGTGCCATTTGGCAACTTGACTGCCCATTACCCAGTTCAAACAGGGGCCCTACCTGGTTATGGACTAGAGTGCACATCAAGAGGCAGTGACCATACCTTTCCCTAGATCATGTTACCTTAAGAGCACTGAAAACTTACAGGCTCCTCTGGACCTAGCGGTCAAAACAACAGGACATAAAAGCCTGAAGTTCAGGGACAGTCCCACCCTTCCTCCCCCCAGAGGTAAGCAGAACCCAAATAAAGTCCAAAGTCAAGAAATAGGAAAAATGAACAAACAAGCAAAAAAAAAATGACAATAGAAAGCAACTACAGTGACAGAAAAGCTCAAGACACAAACGCAAGATGGCAATGACTTGAAAACATCTAGAAGGAAAACCTCAAAGGAAAAAAATAATGAAGATTAGACATATGCCCAATAAGAATTCCCAGAAGAGCTTAATAATTTTTAAAAAAGAGCAGAAAGAAAATTATTTTTAAGAATAAAGAGAGGTAGAAGAAAAATTTGAAAAGAAAGGAAAATAATGCAAGAAAATTATGTGAAGGGCATTCATAGCTTGGTAAAAAGGTATTAAAAAAAAGTGAAGAAAATAACGTCTTTAAAATGAGAGTTGGCCAGATGGTAAAAGAGGTGCAAATCCTCCCTGAAGAAAATTCCTCAAAAATTAGAACTGGTCAAGTAGAAACTAGTGATTCCATGAGACAAGAAATAATAAAACAATCAAAAGACTGGAAAAAAACATGTGAAATATCTCATTGGAAAAACTGACCTAGAAAGTAGATCAAGGAGAGAGAATTTAAGAATTATTTGACTACCTATCAGATTGACCAACATGATAAAACAGGAAAATGATAAATGTTGGAGAAGATGTGGGAAAATCGCAACACTAATGCATTAATGGTGGAGTTGTGAAATGATCTATTTTGGAGAGCAATTTGGAACTGTGTCCAAAGAGCTTTAAAAAATGTGCATACCCTTTGACCCAGCAATAGAACTTCCAGGGCTGTATCCCAAAGAGAGCGTAAAAATGGGAAAAGACCCCACATGTACAAAAGTATTTATAGCAGCTCTTTTTGTGGTGGCAAAGAATTGGAAAGTGAGGGGATGCCCATCAATTGGGGAATGGCTTAACAAGTTGTGGTATATGAATGTAATGGAATACTATTGTGCTATAATGATGAGCAGGAAGCCTTCAGAAAAACTTGGAAAGACTTGTATGGACTGATGCTGAGTGAAGTGAACAGAAACAGGAGAACACTACACAGTAACAGCCACACTGCGATGACTAACGCTGATAGACTTGGCCCTTCTCAGCAGTGCAAAGATCTAAGACAATTCCAAAAGACTTAGGATGGAAAATGCTATCCACATCCAAAGAAAGACCTATGACATATGAATGCAGATCGAAGCATACTATTTGCTGTTTTTTTTCTTCTGTTTTGTTTTGTTTCCTCTTTCTGTTGGTTCCTCCTAATGGTTCTAATTCTGCCTTACAACATCACTAATGTGAAAATACGTTTAATAGGAATGTATATGTATAGCCTGTATCAGATTGTGCATCATCTTGGGGAAGGAGGGGGAGAAAAATTTAAAACTCAAAAGCTTATAGAAGTGATTGTTGATAAATCAAAATAAATTAATTAAAAAATTAAAAACAAACAAAAAGAATTGACTACCTGAAAGCCACAATCAGAAAAAAAGAGTCTAAACATTATCAAAAAATTATCAAGGAAAACTGCCTTGATATTTTAAAATCAGGAGACAAACTAGAAATTGAAAGAATTCACTGACCACCTCCTGAAAGAAATCCCAAAATGAAAACTCCCAAGAATATTATAGTCAAATTGAGGAGCTCCCAGGTCAAGGGGAAATAACTGCTAGCAGTCAGAAAGAAACAATTCAAACACCATGGAGCCAGGCAGGATCATGTAAGATTTAGCAACTTCCACATGAGAGAGGAGTGGAGAGCATGGTATATGATATTCTGAAAGATAGGAGCTGGAATTACAACCAGGAATAATCTACCCAAGCAAAACTGAATATAATGCTACTGGGCTGGGGGTGGGGGTGTGGGGAATGGATATTCAATGAAATAGAGGACTTCAAAGCATTTCTGATGAAAAGACCAGAGCTGAGTAGAATATCTGTCAGTCAAACATAGATTTAAGCATAAAAAGCAAACATGAGTGAGAAATCATAAGGAACTGAATAAGATTAAAGTGTGTACGTTACCAGAAGGGAAGAAGATACATGTTAACATCCTGAGAACTTTATCATCCTTAGGACAGTTGGAAGGAGTCTACTTAGAGAGTGCATGGATGTGTCTATCACAATTGGGGTGATCTCAAAAGAAAGATGGCAGGGTGAGAAAGAGGAATATATTGAGAGGAGGGAGGGGACAGGAAGAATGGGGAAAATTATCTCACATAAAAGACAAGGAAGAGTTTTTTACAATGAGGAGAACAGACAAGACTTTGACTTTATTCTCATCTGAACTGATTCAAAGGGGGAAGAATAAATATATATGTGTGTGTATACACACAGTTGCATATAGAAATTGATCTTACCCAACAGGAAAGTAGGAGAGAATGGGGCTAAGAGAAGGTTAATAAGAGGAAGGGTAGATTAAAGTGGGTAGTGGTCAGAAGCAAAATCGACATTTAAGGAGAGGACAGTTTAAAAAAAAAGTGAGATAAATAGAAGAGAATAGGATGGAGGGAAATACAGATAGCCATCCTAACTAAATGTGAATGAGATAAACTCACCTATAAAATGGAAGTAGATAAAATGATTAGAAACCAAAATCCAACAATGTTTTTTACAAGGGACACTTGAAACAGAAAGAGTTAAAATAAGAGTCTAGAGCAGAATCTACTGTTTCAGCTGAAGTAAAAGTAAAAAATGCAAGGATGGCAATCATTTCAGACAAAGCAAAAAGCAATAATAGACCTGATTAAAAAGGATAAGCAGGGAAACTACATCTTGTTCAAAGCAGGCATAGACAATGAGTTAATATCAATACTAAACATAGGCACCAAAGTTCATAACATCCAAATTCTTGTAGGACAAGTTAAATGAATTACAGGAAAAAATAGCAAAAACCAACTAGTGGGGAATCTCAGTTTACCCCTCTCAGAACTAGATATGTCTAACTATAAAAGAAGAAGCTAAGGAGATGAACAGAATTTTAGAAAAGATAAATATGATAGATCTCTGGAGAATATTGAATGGGATTAGAAAATAGTATTCATTTTTCTCAGCTGTTCAGGGCACCTTTACAAAACTTCACCATGTATGTAGGCATAACAAGCAGAAATATTAAATGTAACCTTTTTGGACTGTAGTGCAAAAAAATTATTTGATTAAGGGTCTTTGAAGCATAGATTAAAAATTAATTGGAAATGAAATAATCAAATCCTAAAGAATGAGTGGCTGAGAAAACAAATCACAGAAACAATAATTTGAAGATTATGAGTACAGTGAGAAAACAT